CTATCCAAACCACTAACCCACAATATTTTCAATCACCCCATTAATTTTTATACTATTATATATATATGTATATATATATATATATATATATACACGCGCGCGCTCACGCACACGCACACGCACACGCACGTACAAATATCACAAACAGTAAAAACAAAGGTTTTGCAATTATAGATGATACCCAAAACTCTTTTTAACTTTTGCAACATTTTTCAGTAAAGTCTCTCGACTTGTAACATTGTTTTTCAATAAATCTCTTTTATTTAATTTTTTATTAAAAAAAAACCCTCAATTCTTTGATAGGGTAAAAGAGTTAATATTTGAACCAATATGTCCTTTTATTTAAATCTTAATTCTCTCAAACTTAAAAAAATTCATATCTCACAAACTATACATTTAAAAATTATAAATAATATATACACAAAAAGCTTATGAAATAAGAATTCTAAAAATATAAGATTTATACAACAAAACTTCATAATCGGAGAAAAATAGTCAATCTAAAAATCTACTCTAACAATCTTATTTTGTTTTTAAAAAATAAAATACTCTAGATATTTGTAAAATTTTTTTGAAAATTGTTCATTTCCATATGGAGCCGAATATATAATTTTTTTTTAGAATTATTCATTAACATATGGAGCCGAATATATAAAAATTTAACTCCAATAAAGATCGATTTTATGAGATGTCATATTTTACGTCAAATATTTTCATTCTTTTATAGACTCACCATTTAAAAAAAAAAAATGAATATTCGGTCTCTAGGACTAATTTTTTTAAATGTTATGCTTCATGTGAAAATGAATAATTCTTGAAAATTTTCTTGCAAATAACATGAGTATTTTATATAGAATAAAATAAAATAAGATTGTTGTAGTAGATTTTTAGATTGTCTATTTCTCTTTGGCTATAAAGTTTTGTTAAACAAATTTTATATTTCTGGAATCCTTGTCTTATAAGTTTTCCGTGCATATAATATTTGCAATATTTAGATGTATGGTTTATGAGATACGAATTTTTGAAGTTTAGAAAAATTAAGATTTAAATAAAAAGATATTTTGGTCTAAATATGGTTGAGAAGGGTTATTTGACAAAAAATTAGACAAGAAGGATTTATTGAAAATGACAAGTCGAGAAAAACTTTTTGATAAAAAATTAGACGAAAATATTTATTAAAATAAATTATAAGTCGAGAAGAGTTTTACATATATATATATATATATGCTTATGTCTTAACGTCAACATAATTACTGTAATTTTATATATACGTGTTCTATATATAGATATACATGTTTATGTCTTAATGTCAACATAATTACTGTAATTTTATATATACGTGTTCTATATATATATATATATATATGACAGAGAGAGAGAGACAGACAGAAGCAGTGACACAGATACTTTTTCCTTGTTTATGCTCAACGGTTCTAGAGGGTCCCATTTTCTTATCACTACAAAATCACTTTAGTCAAGAGCTCATACTTTGGATAATTGCAAAATTCCATGGACTACTTTCATTTTGACTGTGGTGTGCCTTGCATGATTGTTTTTTTTTTTTTTTTTTTTTTTTTTTTTCATTTTTTAAATTTATTACAATTATAAGTTACACTGGACGAGTGTGCTTGATGACATTTTTAGTATTTTCTTTCTAGCAGTCGTGTTCATCAGGGTCACCTGAATTTTTTAGATTTATAAATATTTGTAATATAATATATTATTATAATATAAGGGTATTACTAAGTTTTCACATTCGAAGTCACCTTTTGGTACTCAACAAATAAATTTAGGAGGGGTCAAAGTAATAAATATCAAATAGTTTATTATGTGTAATTTGTCTAAATCTCAGAAGAGGTCAGTATAATTAATCCTAAAATTTAAATAATTGGTAGTTGAAGTACTTTCTGTATATTCATAGATTGAATATATATATATTTTTCTTTGGCTGTAAAACTTGAACCTTGATCTTCGATTTTTGAAGGTGCTAAAATACTACCATATTACATCCTTGATGTTATGAATGGAACAATTGAGGGAGCAATAATTATAATAGAAAAATCATGAAAATTTAAATTCGAAAGAATAATTATTTGATAAAGGCACGTGGTCCTGTGATATTTTCTCTCTTTTCAAATTATACTGCGGATTCAAGACTTTAGGTCTTTCCAAGAGCATTATTGAAGTTTTTCATCAGAAAGTGTGTGTGTGTATATATATATATATAGAGAACAATTACCTAACCAGTATTTATGGAATAGAAGAGTTGAGAAAAGAAAAAGAAGAATAAAAATAGCATGGTCTGAGATAGGAGAAAGCTAATAATTACATGAATTTTTTTAGATTAATAAATATTTGCAATATAATATAGAACAGATAAGGTTATGATTTTACACATAATACAATGGTGAGATATAAATTGACCTTAATATTTAGAAAAGTACTTTATTTAATTGAAATTTGAGCTAACATTAATAAAAGAAATTAAAGTTGGAACGAATGAAGAATTAGAGAAACAGTGAATTAAGGTATTAAGGTATTGTTGGGAAAGGAATGGTCTTTCCCTCGCTCTGTTTGATTAACCATGAAGAGAAAAAATGATGAAAGCTAATAATAGGCCATAATTTTTATCTAAGTCACATAATCTTTATTAACAGGTTTCGCTCTTATGCTGCTGCACTCATGCTCTATGCATGTTTTATCATTAAATTTTTATCATTATATTAATTTTGAAAATACTAATTGTTAAATAAATTTAAATAAAAAAATAAAGAAAATAAAAAAGTGAGAAAGCCATTTCCGTCCTTTCACTTCCACTTTCATTTCCTTTTCTGTCGCAATGAATAATAAGACTCTCAACAAAAAGTTGGATAAAAAATTACTTAATGTTAGTTTCTCGGATATGCATGCAAAAAATATACATAAAATTGTTTGAACTCAAAACATCATATTAATTTTAGTTCAAAATAAATAAATAAAAACTAACCCACAGAAAAAGAAAATAAAGTTTGACACATTTCTTTACTTGCATGGTTGTTGAGAGAAAAAGACTAAAATAAGATTGACACAAAATAGGTACTTTCAAATATTGACTCTTTAAATCTTAATAAGGTTTGAAATACAAATATATATATATATATATATATATATATATATATATTACTCAATTTATATGATATTTAAGCTAGTGTGGAGAGGAATTGTGTAATATAAGCACAAAATGACTAGTTTTCATTTTTAAATGGATTCCTCGTCTTTCTTCTTCATCTTTATTGTCAATCTGTCTTGTTTTTTATCCTATATAAATGAAGTCGGCTATTATTTTTTATTCTTTTTTATTGGCATCTTTACTAAAATTAATTAATTATTGTTATTATTTTTTTTTATTAAAAAAAGAGGGTGCTTGTGGTCAGAACTTGGAGGAGGTTTTGGCACATTAGGTCAGAAATGTAACATGGAGGGGGGGCTACAAGGGTATGATTACTGATTAGAGGGGTGGGCCCAATTATGCTCATTAGAAAGTTAACAGGTTGTTGGGTGGGTAGAACTCATGAAGGGATTTGTGTTTGTCCCAGTCACTTCACTTTGATTCAAGCCACATCCATCCTTCTTGCTAATGGAGAACAAATCTTGTACCTATGAATAATTAGTTACATACGATGAAATGTATGTCCATGTCTATGTCAATGACTCAGCACTCTATAAAAATGAGCATAGGGAATACCATCTTGGCCACCAATATTAATTGTTACAACGTGTTATTGAATTCGAATCCTATGGTCAAAAATTTATACATTTGCAAACCACGCTTCGTATGAAATGATACGACTAGACAATTCAATTTAAGTATCAAGACTTGTGGTTTTTATTTTCTAACAATGCTATTGACAATATACACCGTCTTATTTTAAACAAAATTACAAAATATGGGTTTTGATAAAACAAGAACAATAAATGGACATAAATTTAAGTAAGTTTGATTTGAATTTAACTCGTATAATCTTGTAAACACGCAATTCGTATAACAGGTAATGTGCAACTTCTATAACTCATCAAGATTTGACTCTTGAACACGTGTCTTATTATTACTATTAATTTTTTCATGTACAAATTTCCTCCATGAAAGTAATGGAATATAAAATATTAAGAAATTATAGTATTAAAAGTAAGATAATATGTTTAACAAGCTCATTAATTGGGCAAATAAATTGGGTTAAGCACGAGTTAGCTTCGATGCTCGGAGTGAGACTTGAGTTGAGCACAAGAATAAATGAGTTGAGTCCTAACAATGTTGACATTAAATTAATTATATATTGTCCCACAATTGTACGGAGAATGTAACACTATTACATCAAGAATATAACATAATATTGCATTGGATTTTGCTCCGCGTTTGCATAGAGAATATAACACTATTATATCGAGACTACGACACCATATATTAAGAATGCAACATCAATGCAAATATGTTAACATTCTCAAAATAAAGTTGTTACATTGTTGCAACATGCTGTAATGTATTGTATGATTATTGTACTCTCAAAATAAATGTGTTATATATTGCATTAAATAGTGTTACGCCTTTTTGTTGAGAAGATATTACATGGTTAAGAACATTTAACATGTAATCTTTATTCAATTTTTTAATTGACCAATTTCATGTTATAATTTCTTATACATTCTAAATTGATTCTATATATATATATATTTCTAAGAACATCAAATAATGACCCCAATATATTTAACATTTACTTGATTGATTTAATTTTATTAATAAAATAAAATTAGTAATTGGTAGAAAATAAAACTACTTGAAGAAGGAAAAAGAAATATATAAATTTTAATAGGGAAAAAAATCTGTTACATCATTCCATCTTGATATTTATTTTCTTTACAGTTTCATTTTCATCCAATTGACGCGAGACAAAAAGAAAACAAGGGCAGGGCTGAGGTATAAAACACATTTGGGTTTTTTGAGGGGTTAGGATTTTTTATACGCTTATATATAACACACACACATAGGCGATAGTGTGTATATATACACAAAGCCGCCATAGCCTTCTCTTCCCAACCTCAACCCAAACCACCACCACTCTTTCTCTCATTCCTTCCCCACAACACTTTCACATTGCATTTTCATTCCTCCATTTTCAATTCCCTCTCGCCCATCTCTCTCTCTGTCTCTCCATTTCTATTCATCTATCCATCAATCGATAAGGTACATAGAATCAGAGACATTAGTTATCTACTTATCAGGAGTGAATAATCAGTAAACGACTCTGCAAATATAGGCGTAGCTGAAAAAGGGTACAAGGTATTCTCTCCTCTCTCTTTCTTTTAGTTCGTTCATTCTAAAAATGCGTTGCTCCACAGTCCACGCTCTGTATCTATGTGTATTTGTAGAGAGAGAAAGTGGGTTGGCGTTATAAATCATATATTTGTTTGTATGTGTATATGTGTGTGTGTGTATATATATATAGAGACCTTGTGAGTTGTGATGTGGGTTTTATCATCGGCAGGAACAGGGGACGAAAAGGGTCTTCTTCTTCTACAAAGGAAGAGAAAGAGAGGTAAAGAGGAAACGAAAAGGGATAATATGAAGTACGTTTTGGTTACAGGAGGAGTAGTTAGCGGTCTCGGCAAAGGAGTCACTGCTAGTAGTATTGGCCTTATTCTTAAGGCCTGTGGACTTCGCGTTACTTCCATTAAGATTGGTCTGTTTTCCTTCTTCTCCTTCTCTCTCTATCTATATCTCTATGTATATCTGCTTAACCACAACACCAAGATCGTAATCACAATGAGCTAAAAATTGCCTCTTTCTTATTTTTATTTTTTTTTAAATTTTTGCCTGATTTAGCCCCTTCAAATTCTCTGGGTGTGTTTTTTTTCTTATAAAATTTGTTTCTGTTTGAATTTTTAATACTAAAAATGGTCTTTAAATTGCATAAAAAACCGGTCACTATTTCTATATATATTTTTTCCTTATGTCACGATTGATCAGAGTCATGATACTTTAGAATGTGGGTTTTGATTTAATTTTTTTTTTTTTCATAATATGAGTGAAGAAAAATACAATCTTTTTGTTATTTCTTGGTTTATAGGTCCTGGGGCATCTGGGTTTTTTTCTCCCTTCTATATTAGAGTATTTTATCTGTATGTAATACAGTTTGAGAAGGGTTCTCTTAAGATGGAGCAAAGTATACTTTGATTCCATTACTTTCTTGTATGCAAATTTGAATTTGTGAATGATATGCTGATTTTTAGAGGGAACTCTTATTTTTTGTACCCTTGAAATGTAAAATGTTCAAAAGAAATATGTCATTTAGTGCACTATTTGATTTTGAGTCTGGGATTTGTTTCAATATTTCAATACTGTAAACTAAAAATTGGCCTCTGAGAGCTTGTTAAAGCTCCAATGAAAGTTTTCTTCTTTTTATCCAATATTGGACTTAAAATTTTCTAATCAGCACTACTGTTTAAGTACTGTCTTATTAGTAGTGCTTCTTGTTCTTTTTTCTTCAAATCATGGAGCCAATTTGAGGGGATGTAATTATTCATCGCTCACTATATCTTTTTTCTCTTAAAAGCATAATCATATGATTTTTTCTGAAGTTGTATTTCTTTTATATTTTTACCTTTCATTCAGATCCTTACTTGAACACTGATGCTGGAACCATGTCCCCTTTTGAGCATGGAGAAGTTTTTGTTTTAGATGATGGCGGAGAGGTAAAAGAAACTTCTTCATTTCAATTCTGCAGCTGTTCGGTATATTTCTGTTTTTATTTCTTCTATTCAAGGGGGTTAAGAGGTTCTGCTTCTTGCTGTTGTTGGAGGGTCGGAACTTTGAGTTTTGATTAGGAATGTGTGGCGAATTCGACTTTTCAATTCCATTGCAGGAGGCATTCATTTTAGTTTTTCCATTTGAACATAAGTATCTGGTATTGTGTCTGATGTTTTCAGATTATCCACTGACGATGAAAGCGATGAAGATTAATTACTTTATTCGATTTATTCTTAATATATAATTATTTTAAAACTTTGAACATTTTTTTAGGGGAAAAAAACAAATTTAAAGAGTTAACATGTTTAAAAGTTGTTGGTTAATCTGAAACTGCCCAAAACTGAACAAAGTTGACTAATTGGAAGGAGATGGTACTTTATCATCATACACTTTCTATTTGCAATCGTTCCTGCTAGTTGTTTACGTTGTCATGCATCTGAAAGCAAACTTGCATTTTTGCCTCTAGTGGAGGGTTACTGGAATTTTTTATGTAATTCAAACCAAAAAACTTATTAATTTTTATATTTGAAGGTGGACCTCGACCTTGGAAACTATGAGCGGTTCCTAGATATCAAGTTAACAAGTGATAATAATATCACCACCGGAAAGATTTACCAGGCAAGTGGGTTAAATTGAAAGCCTCCTTATGTGCTTGCTGCTTGAGATTCTTAAGATAATATGGCTGATTCCTAACTTACTGATTTGATTGCTTAATTTTCTTGTATGATAGTCTGTAATTAACAAGGAGAGAAAGGGTGATTATCTGGGAAAAACAGTCCAGGTATTTCCCTGCCGCTGAACTGTATCTATTGAATTATACGATCTCTTAGAAAAGCTTCCCATCTATATGTTTCCAGTTTTCATTTCCTATTTCCTTTGGTCAGGTTGTCCCTCACATCACAGATGCCATCCAAGAGTGGATTGAACGTGTAGCAGTGATACCAGTGGATGGAAAAGAAGGTCCTGCTGATGTTTGTGTCATCGAGTTGGGTGGTACCATAGGTAAATTGACACAAATTTTGATGTGTGGTTCAATGAGTAGTTACCCTGTTTTAGCTGGTAAAAAAAGAACCTTTTTTTTTTTTTTTTTTTTTGTTGTTGTTGTAGGGGACATTGAATCAATGCCATTTATTGAGGCTCTTGGACAGTTCTCATACCGTGTAGGTAAGTTGATGCACATTCAACTTATTACACATTTGTAAATCAACTTTTCAACTATTAAGAATCAACTTAGTTTTAGAGCTTAAGAGTATTAATTTCTTTTCATCAATACCCTACTTTATAGGTGCTGGAAACTTTTGCTTGATACATGTCAGCCTTGTTCCTGTTTTGAATGTTGTTGGTGAACAGGTGGGTTCTTAATACGAATACCTTACACGCTGATGCATCTTATATGCACAGATGCATAGGCTTCTTTATGCCTTTCTTCACTGAAAAGGGGAATTACATTGTTAAGTCTGATGAGTGTCGTACCTTTGCTTACTGTGTTCAGAAAACAAAGCCAACCCAGCACAGCGTTAGGGGACTAAGAAGCCTGGGATTGATGCCAAATATTTTAGCTTGCCGTAGCACAATGGTCTCTCTCTCTCTCTCTCTCTCACACGCACCCGCACACGCACACGCACACGCACACGCTTGTATAGATACAATAACATACATGCATGCTTGCACACTGCACACATCACTCTTGTGCCTCTCTACGTGTGCGCGCACTTGGGCTAGCGTATTTGTTTGTTTGTTTGAAATGGTTGACTTCAGCTTCTAAATTTCAATACATTTTCAGGAACTTGATGAAAACGTGATGACAAAACTCTCTCAATTTTGCCATGTTCCGGTATTGTGGTTAGAAGAATAATTTTTTGAGGCATATTTTTTGCATGTATCTTATCTGGTTTGTAAGTCTCTCCTTTCTTAAACCACATTTTTTCCAGGTTGAAAGCATTATCACCCTCTATGATGTGCCCAACATCTGGCATGTTCCTTTGCTTTTAAGAGTAAGTAATTCTATGACAAATTTGAAGGTTATTCCCATCCCTGATTTCTTTTTCTTGCAATAAGAACTTAAATACTTGTTTTTCTTCTCAAATAGGATCAGAAGGCACATGAAGCTATCTTGAAAGTGCTGAACCTTAAAGGGTTTGTCTAATGAGCTCAATTCTCATTTGTTCTGTTGTGTTTATCTGGATTTATTTTCACTGTTAATTTTTTCAATTTACTTTTTGGTTCTTTTGCTAGCATAGTGACAACGCTAATTTTATTTAAAGCAGTGTTACTGGGGAACCTGCTTTGGGGGAATGGACAGCAAGGGCTGCACTCTGTGACAAGTTGCATGAGCCTGTACGTCCAAGTTTTTTTTTGAATTTAAAGTTACTTTTTGTTTACCATTTGCTGGTAGTGTTATTGAAATTGACGTCATTTAAATTGCAGGTCAGAATTGCCATGGTCGGAAAATATACAGGCCTTTCAGATTCTTACCTCTCTGTACTGAAGGTGAACCTAGCTATTTGTGCATTGATATAATGGAACTCGTGATCTTTTATGCTGTGTAGTTTCTGACTGCAACAAATTTTTAGTTTCTTGCATTATTCTTTTTAGTTATGGAATTGCTATATTATACACCATCTATCTTTTGCATCTTTGGAAACTTGAATGTCTTATGGTAGACAACATGTCATTATTTTTTGATTGACCCAGCCTTGTAATTTAGGAGGGAATAGCAAAATTTATGCCCTTTTGAGCTTGCTTGGTGTGACTCAATTGGTCTAAAGCCATTTTTGCTGCAGCTTCCATTGCAGGATGATAATTACTTCAGGAATGTGGATATTTATATTGTTTTACTAGTCAAAGTATCTTAGTTTCTCTGAATATGGAGTTGAAATTATAAGAGTTAGGTTGCTTAGAGGGCTTCATATAGCTTATCTAAAATCTTTCCATTCAATAGAGAACGAGCTTTAGAGATCTCTTCCGCAATTATGCTTTTTGTGGATTATATGCAATGCAAACCCTAGGTGTGATGCCTAACTGATCATAGGAGTGATTCCTAGTTACTTCCTTTTCTGCACTTCTGATCTTTAAAACCCCCACAACCAAAGCTGAACTATCCTCCTTTATACCCTTAAAATCCCACTTTCCAAGCCTTAGCCCCTCCATTTTCAAGCAGTCTTCCCTAGCACGCAAATGAAGCACAGCCAGTCATCAAGTAATGTTACTGGGTACCGTTCACATCCCCAGTATTTGATTTTTCATTTTTTTATTACGATCCCCAAACCCCCCTAACACACTTGCAATTTTACAAATTTCAAAACTATACAACTTTCACTGTACTACAGCCACCAATAAATGGATTTATGAGTCCTAAATGAACTTCCCAAAAGCATAAACATGCCTTCAAACCCACTTTGATGCTAAAAGTTGATGGTTTGACAACATCTAAGACTTTAAGAGGGTTCTTCTAATGTGGAGATGGATGGTAGAGTTTGATTCTTACACTTCTTGAAGCCATAATGTAAGTGAGGGAGATGAGATAGAGAGCCTTCAACCTCCTTGAACAGAGTATATGCAATGAGTTTATACAAACCACAAACATATATATATATATATATATATATATATATATATTATACATAATGTCAAACTTGGGGCAATTTATCAATCTCATTTTCTTGAGTTGGTGTATGCTTGTATTTTCGCACAAGGATTGGACAAAAATGTCTTCACAGTCCTTTGAAGGGCATATATTGGTCATATGAAGCTCAAAAATTCACCACAAAAGTGTTGACCATCTCTGACTATTAGTGAGACTGACATTAGGGGTCGGTTTATTGCAAACATGTAAACTAGAAGGGGATACCTGTAATGATCCAAAACTTCTGGGATGTCTGTAATTTTCACTACGTAATTTACCCTAATTTATATATTATTTACTAGACTACATATTTGTTATGATTCAAGCCTTAGAAATCTCTAACACTCAAATTCAGAGGACTGTGGAGGTTATATGTTCCCCAGTATCCCATGTGAATCTAATGCAAGAATACCAAGGAGTTACATGACGGCCATGTGATGGCGCATCAAATAGATGCATGGGTAACTCAGTAGGTCCTTGTATTAGAGGGAGTGTGGGTGGATGTCTACATGGGCTTCAGTATTTGCATGTATAGTGTGTTTTAGAGCAGATACAAGTTTTTCCTGCTGCTAGCTAATCTTATAAAGTTCTCTCTTTGCAGGCTCTTTTGCATGCTTCTGTTTCTTGCCAAAGGAAACTTTCTGTAAATTGGGTTCCTGCCAGTGACCTTGAAGATGAAACTGCAAAAGAGGTTAAATAATCAGTTTTAAGTTCTCAGTCTTAGTATTCATTTATCTCACATCATGACTTAACAAAAATTTTCTGTATGCAGAATCCTGATGCTTATAATGCTGCATGGAATTTACTAAAGGTTCGTGTACCTTAGGGTTTAACAGCCTTAAATTAGCTTAGTGAAATTGCTTTTCTAGCAGTTTACTTTAGCCCCCTGACAAGCCTTTATCTTTAGGATGCAGATGGTGTGCTTGTTCCAGGAGGGTTTGGTGACAGAGGGGTGCAAGGAAAAATTGTTGCTGCAAAGTATGCCCGTGAAAACAGGATTCCATTCCTTGGAATATGCCTAGGAATGCAAATTGCCGTCATTGAGTTTGCTCGATCTGTTCTTGGAATGCAAGATGCAAACAGCACTGAATTTGATCCTAACACTCGGAATCCTTGTGTTGTATTTATGCCAGAGGTCTGGTATTCTTCACACTTGAATTCAGGAGGGCAGTTCCAGTTATGTCTGATTTTTTCCTCGTAATGATAATCTGATCACTGTACCATATGCTTGCAGGGTTCAAAAACTCAAATGGGAGGCACCATGAGGCTTGGATCAAGGAGAACATTTTTTCAGGTTAAAGACTGTAAATCTGCAAAACTGTGAGCACTTTTGACTCCATTTACATAATACATACAGATACGCATTTATACATATTGCGCTGAAAGAATTCAGTTGGTTGTATCATGAATTGTCGTGGAATTAACTTTACCCTTCAAATGCATACATTCACAAACCTATCAGTACCTAGAAAGATATGAAAAGATATGACTGGCCTAATAATTATCCCTTTTTGAATTTCATGTATGGTATTGTGAATTATCATGGACAAGGACCAAGTAACTTCAATTATCATGCATATGAATTGATTGTGTGTAGTCTATAGATATGTATGGAAAATATTTATGGTATTCTGATAAACATCCCCAATCTTGGCTAACCAATATGATTTGGATTTTGTAGATATGGAAATAGGAGCTTCATTGATGAGAGACATCGTCATAGATACGAGGTATTTGGCATTAACAAGCATATTGCCTTGGAACTGATGTTTGCTAAACTTTATCATATATGTTATTCAATGGTCTCTTTTGTAGGCGTTTTCGGTTGACAAATAATTTTCTTATGTAGGTGAATCCTGATATGGTAGCACAACTTGAAAATGCTGGTCTCTCTTTTACTGGAAAAGATGAAAGTGGTCAACGCATGGAGGTAGGTTTTCAGTTGAGAATTGTAGCTCTCTTAACTTTTTTATTTGCTGCAATGATTTTGTACATCCTGATGGTTCTGAGTATGCAATGGTACAATGGTTCTACAGATTATTGAGCTGCCTAAGCACCCTTACTTTGTTGGTGTTCAATTCCACCCCGAGTTCAAATCAAGGCCAGGGAAACCTTCTCCTCTTTTCTTAGGTATTTGTCTCTGGCATCTCAAAATTCTTCTGACGAGACATATATGTTATTTTGTATATACTTTATTTCGTCAAAGTGATCACATCAATATTTTTCCTCTATATCTGATATTTTGAAGGTCTTGCATATTATCTTACTGTTGGGTTGGGTTTGTTAACTACTGTAGTTTAACTTAATTATAATTATTAGGAAAAATAGACAGGCTATGATAAAATTTGCAGCAGCCAACAAAGGTTACAAAACTATTGAGATTCTTTTATTTCGCTACTGGTTTAGTGTGGTGCAAGTCGAGGCCATCTAGACAAAGCACAAATAACCAGCCTTATCTTGGCACAAAATGCCTTAACCCTGGCTCATTCACCATTTTGAACAAATTAACCAGTGCGGACAGCGAGAGCAGCAATTTCAAATGTTCCTTAGGATACAGAGTGCCATTTTGAACAAAACAACCAGTACAGACAGTGAGAGCGGCAATTTCAAATGTTCCTTAGGATGCAGAGACTCTAGACTACCATTACATATTTACATATAAATGCATATTATTGTAAACCCTCGTAAAGTTATAATAGTTGCTGCATTTATTATTGTAAACCCTCTGAAAGTTATAATAGTTGAGTTATAATTGTTTTTCTCTTATTAGTATTTGTAGATTATATTGTTAATGGTACTTTTTATTCTGTAATAATTATCTTCCTATCTTCTTTTGTGCTTATGTTAATTGTTTACCAATATCATTTTTGGGAAGTTTCATTGAACAATGTCAAATAGGCTTTTTCTTCATATACTTTACCTAGCAAAGCACATAATAAGTTTTGGTATGCAATCAATATAAACTCCTCTAATTGGAATAAAGGTGGATTTCAATTCATAACAGTTGCTAAAATATAAGAATTATAATTTTTAGAGGCTGATGAACTTAAGCCTATAAGCAATCTCATTCCCGCCCTCAATTAACCTGTCATGTTCCATAGGACCAAATTACTTACTTGATAACCACCCTCAATTAAACTGGCTGGTATCAGGAACTATATTTTTTCATAAAATATTATATAAAATAACCGCTTTTAGATAATTATCGACACTCTGTATACATGCTTATGTCCAAGTCAAAAGTTGTTTAGCATACATGAAGTCAAATACAAAAAGATGGATGGTTGCAATCTAATAGTTAATGACCTAAAAATGTCCACTTGTGATGCAACCAGGTTCAATCCTAAACATCATAACTTCAAAGTGTCTTCTAATATGTTGTTGAGTTAGTTCGACTGTTATGCCAGCAGCCTTGATCAAGGTTCAAAATTCCTGGTGGAAACCGAATTCACTCGGTTGAGTTGACTCTTGATTGGAGGCTGTGAAGATGATATCAAGTCATGATACATAAAGAGTGGTGATATGGAGTCTAGTCATGAGAGGACTTGGTCAGAGCAGCCCTGTGTTTTGACATTGTCCAGATCAATCTTGTATATCACAGGACACATTGGCTGAAATGGCCTTTAAATTACATTTTCCAGTGGACTTCATCAATCATCTCACACCTCAAACCAAAAGTTGCTGTTTGCTCTTCCATTCTTTTGTACTCACACCCTTGCAAGTGTATTCCGATTCATTGCAAAATAGAACTTCTCTTTCACTCTTTTATGTCGAACAATCAAAAGATTGTTTTGGGTTTTAGAGGTAATTAAACCCCAAGAATTCACGAGCTTTGGGTTTATTCAACTAGGAAGAGACTCTTGGTGAATCTTTTTGAGTATGGTTGTGTAATAATGGATTTGTGAGTTTGTGTGTGCTTCTTGTTTCAAATTCAATGGATTCTTGTTTAACTTGGGGGGTGGAGGGGAGAGATGGAAGCAAGTCCCACGTTTGGGTTGCTTTTCTCACATTGTGGAAGAAAAACACAAATTTAGTTAGGGAAGTGAAGATGATATTTGGGGTGAAGGTCGTTGGCAATTGTGTAGGATGATGCGGAAGAGAATGCTGGGATGATGATGACAGACAATCATGTGTAACTTTGCACAATATAGTATTTTTTGGTTTTTGGTTCTAACTATTACCGAATACTGTAGTAGACCAAGTAATGTATTTTTGTTATATATGGTGAGTTGATTACTGATACTATAACTTAGAACTTTACATGGTGAATTGGCGATATTAATTGGACCAAGTTGCACCCTCACGACCTAGGAAATTTACAGCTCTGCTCATGAAAATACCAATCCACAAGTTAAGCCTAACAAGTTTTACTTGTGACATTTTACTTCCTGGTAAATTCTACTTGTGGCATTTTACTTGAGTGCTCATACATAGGATTTAAGTAAATCATGGAGAAAATTATAGATACTACTGATTATACAAGGGCAGAATGTTGTCCCCTGAACAAGTATTAGTGTCCTTGTTGGTTTACTTGAATTTTTTTTTTCACCCTCCTTCGCTAGTTATAGGCATTTATTTGACATGATCCATCTAGTGCTTGTTGGTCACTTGATTTTGTCTTACGTTTCTGGAATGCCAGAACTATCCCAATTTAAAATGTGATGCCATGCCAAGTTGTGACAAATTTTGATGCTAACTTACAGATTGCATATTTTAACAACAGGACTTCTAGCAGCTGCAAGCGGGCAGCTGGATGCTGTCTTGAAGAGAGGTTTAACGCAGGCAAGCGCAATGAGCAATGGGACCTCAGCTTTGAAACATCGCAAATATGGAAATGGAAATAGAGCTGCTGATGGGCCAGTAGTAGCCGTTTATAGCAATGGGAATGGTGTGCACTTTTAGAGGAAAGTGGCTTTAGTTTCCTAATTCTATAGGCCCTTCTTTTTCTTTTTCTTTTCTCCCTTTTTTGGGGTGTGGTTTACCGATTTTGCAGGCGCTTTTCTGGTTGGTCTGTACAGAGCCATACGAGTTTGGTAGGTGTTGTAGCTCTCAACTGGACTCGTTGACAGACTGGAGCTGGATTCCGGTTTTTTTAACGGAACAGCCTGTTGTATTTACAGTTCATTGCAAGGAAAAATGGTTAGGGGTCTTTTTTTATTTTCTTGTTGTCTTTGAAGTATATGTTTTTATGTAGTATCTTTTGTTGCTGTGATTTTTTTTTTTTTGCTATGTGAGAACCCATGCTATCCATGTATAATAGCATCGACTGTCTGATAGAAATGGTGATTGTTGTGATTATTATTTTCTGGGTTCCACATGGGAAACTTTTATTCAAACAGTAAAAAGAAATAATATACAAGATTTGAGAGACACGAACAGAAAAATTGAAGACAACACTAAAACAAATTATACAAAACAAACTTGCTCCATCAACCAAACCTGAGAACTATGCAAAGCAAAATAAGGGAAGAGTGAGTTTACGTAGCGTGTGTTCTCTATGACTTGTGCTCTATGGGACTTTAGCCATTAGATTGAGAGATTGATCAAACCGTTGAGGACACAAACTCGGGTGAAAGTGCAATGTTTAGTAATGCTCTATGAAAGGGTCGGGACTCATGACTCATTATGCGGTCTCCACCCTTTCCTGTGCACCTCATGTGGGGGTGATATCCCGCCCTTTTCTGTGTATTGGACCGTTCAGTGCACGGGAGAGGATTCTAACAATAGACTTCATAGGCCAAAACAAGATGAGTTTGAATTTGACGAACAAAAATTGAGTTCAGCTACAATAAACTGTTCCCAAGGCAAACTCAAACACCCAGATACTTTGTTCAAAGTTCAAACTCAAATGAATTGCATTCCCAAAAGTAGATGAAACCAAACACGCGAGAGAGAGAGTAGTAGTGTCTAAAACTTCATAGTCATATGACTTGTATAAAAGCATGTATTCTTGGGACCCGTTTGGCATGCAATGTGTTTTAGGTGTTATATTTTTGGTCAATACCAAAACAACTGTTTTGTTGTAGAAAACGAAACCATGTTTGGTAACAAAAAATTATTTTGAAAAATTCAAAAATTTGCTTTAGTTCCTCCGTTATAATATCAAAACACACAATTTGGGTTAAAAAATTTGATATGTTATGAACTATTCCAAATCAATATCAACCCTGCCAAACATAATATGGGCCCAAATTTAGATACCAATATCATAACGCATGTCAAAAGGCCCTACAAAATACTCCAGGCAAGAATTTGAGTGATGTGGGAATAAGACCCTACCTTAGGATTTGGAGTTCCCAAAAACCCTTTCAATCTGCTAGATGGCCCAGTGGATCAAATAAACCAGTAGTTTTCGAGTAAAAGAGTAAACCCTTATTTTTTATTTATTTATTTTTTTATTTTGTATAAAACACTTGAAGAGAGCATCAGATATTCAAGAAATGACAAGAATTTCAGCAAAGATGTAGTCTAAACAACTGATAATTCCAAGGTCTAAATCAAAGAACCAAAGTACCTAAGAAATGGAATGCAAGCTGCAGACAAGAAGTGGCTGATGCAACCCAAAAGAAACCAATGGACTAGTAGCACAAAGGAACTCCATCTCATATGAAAAAGCATATAATATTTACATCATTTGGCTACAAAAGAGAAACCAATGGACTAGTAGTACAAAGGAACTCCATCTCATATGAAAAAGCATATAATATTACATCATTTGGCTACAAAAGAGAGACGTGAAAATCTTTCCCAGTACAGACCTTAATTAGAGTTACCATAACAGTCTTTCACATCACCAAACTCGATGAAAATTGACTCTGTTTCACACACACACACACACACTCAACCACATGTATAATCATCAATGGCATTGTTTTGATTGCCCCCAAGAAGGATGGGCACATCAGAAGACAACAATGGTTATTCATGAGCACTTAATTGCTCAACATTAGTTGAGCAATCAAAATCTAGTGTTATTTTATGCCATGATCGCGAATAAACTAATCCTATGTGAGACTGCTAGAAACATTAATTTTATAAATATGAAGATAAAATAAATTAAATAGTACTACATGTGCAAGAATTTTATCCACTTATGGAGACATTGATGAGTTCCTATGCTTCCATTGCCCACAAGAATGCCATTACAAAGGCAAAACACCATCATTTGATTATAATAGGAGGGCATCAATATTCCGTTTTCCTTCGGGGCCTTCTGTATACCATGATGAAACGTAGTCCCCATAGATAACTTGCTGATACCGGAGGGGAGAATCGTCACTGACAAGCTCACGAGCTGGAGATATTTTCACTGTCTTTGCAGGGTCGTGAAATGTGGCGATTGATAGCCGCGCCTTGTTACCATTAGTTATGGCTCGATGTTGAGCACTTATATACTTGCCATTGGTAATAATCTGCAGACAGATAACCCCAATCATATACGGCATGACATTTTCCATTCCATTCCTTACCAAAGAATGCTATTCTTAATAAAATATTTTTTGCGATAGAAATTTTAAAATGTTGATAGATGTGTAATTACAAACTTGAAGAATTTCATAACGCCTTCAGAGCTAGCTTTTAGGGCAAAAAATAGAAGAATTTGTCTGCAACAGGAACCTTTTTGGTTTTTTATGCAGACAATTTATACCATAAAAATTAGAGGAAAACTATATTTTTTTTATACAAACAAATATGAAAGTCAAAACAAAAATCTTTGACCTTCCTAGTAGTCAGTATTTATTACATCCAACACACCATAAATTTTTTTCCAAGGTTGCGAAAATCAATTGGGCGCCACACCCACCTACAATAAAAATGCAAAACAAACAACTCCCAAGGAAAATTTCAAAACTAGAAACAAGCATGCACAAATATTTGTAATGAGAGATGAAATATTTGACTTAGTTTAATAGATTTTTCCTAGTTTCAACTAGTTCACTAGTTCAGTCCCAGCTTACAATTAGAAAAGAAAGAGAGATAAAGACTTTAAAAGAAACTGAATTACATTGAAAATCGGACTATCAAAATTGCTGACAAAACCCTAATGCCTCCAAACCTGTGCATGTGTACTCACACCATAAGCACCAACCAAAGAAGGAAAAAAGGGATCAAAATCTTAATTGCTAAAGTACCAACAATGAATGAAATCATAACACTGTCAAGATATGATGCATACCAGTATGAACTGTGTGTCTGTGTTTTTATTCATTGTGATTCTTTTTTTTTTTTTTTTGGGGGGGGGGGGGGGGGGTTTGTGTTTGGCCCTGTATTCTGGCAACTTCTACTTTGAGTTGTACGGCTGCTAGTTGTAATTGTATCAACTGCTAAATTCAGGACCTAATGATCACACCTTCTATTACTTGTTTCCAATAATATGAACATTGCATCAAGATGGTGGATGCGTCATGCAATTAATTATCCGTAGAGCAAGATTCAAAAGCATACTCTTATTGGGTTGATTTCTTACACATGAGGTGGCTGATAGGTGTGACTATATTTTGGCTGGTGGTGAGGCAGGGGTAGGGCCGTAGGGGTTGGGTTGTCCATCGAGGTCTCCAAGCTTTGCTGTGCTATTGTTATCAGCTAGAGGAGGTCTTGCCTAGTTCTACTGCCGGAAGATCTGTTACAAAGTTGAAGTGTAGGAGTCAACCCTTGTGCTAGAATTCTGAGCTAATAAAGGAGGGAACTTTATTTTCTTAAAGGATATTTTACTCAATAACAACTAAACCTTTAATAGAGAAAATTAAAACATTACAACTCTATTGAGTAATATTCATAATCAAGTCATATATTAATATATTATTAAAGGGTCTACTATTGAGCAATGAAAAACTAATACTCCGTACTAAATAGTATCATTTTAAATAAGAATATACAGTAAAACAAAGAGGATGGTTAACTTTGGCTTACATATAGAAATCTTTCATTAAACCATTAGCAGCATGGGTTATCATTTACACATAATATGATTGTAAATACAAATAAAATGCAAACTAGATTCATGTAGAAAAATCAAAATAAATTTACGTAGATATTGCTCATTAGAACTTGTGTATAAAAATGAACATTTCTCTTAGAGCAGTCTTGCAGAATGTTTAGATGTCACCTCACCTTCAGAATCCAACAAATCATAACTACATCATGCAGTGGAGGAGGAAGTATCAAAAGAATGAGTAAAGAATCATTCAGAAATTATGATTAAACCGATTTGGCCTTTCTAAAATACAAGGACATCAATCAGCACTACCTAAACAATAATGGAATCTGACTGATAACTTGAGTAGTATCCTGTCCACTTTCCAAATGAGAGGTAGGGAATTAGTCTTGATTGGAACGAAGTTGGTGTTTGTCTTACTTATTAAGTAAATAATGACAATTCCAAGTTCCAACCATACAAAATCTATTGTCAAGTCATTCCAAAATCTGAATAAACAGGTGTGAAATTGGTCCATATGAAAACCTTAGAGAATGGCAGGAAGTAGTACCTCAGTCTGGTCAGCCAAAATGACGACGATGGCATTAGATAAAGGATGTACATTTACCCATTCACCATCCTTGAAAACCTGAAGACCCTCAACATCGTCTTGGATAAGAAGCGTAATAGCACCCATGTCAGAGTGAGATTGGAGACCAAGGGTGAGCTCCGGCTGTGGACATGGTGGATAATAACTGATCGTGATATTCTGGTAGAACTCCCCAACTACCTCTTCAATGCATAATGGTGGCAGGCCCAGACTCTCAGATATTAAACCCAACAGCTTCTGCGCAAGGACCTTCATGTGATCGCTATACTCCACCACAACATCCCTGATTCCCAAATTTTTTTATTACTAATTATTTCACACACAATTTTCAATTCACAGGTATATCACAGTTATTTCAAATAAAACAACCAAAAAAAGAAAAAAAGTACACCATCCTTTGTTTGGTTGCTGAGAAACTTGTGGCATTGAAAAGAAATTTCAAACATCTTTTACTTATTGGGTACCTCATTACTTTATTTTTCCAGAAACCCAAAAAGAGCTAGTAAAAGCTACACCCAAATAAGAGCCTATCACAAGGTCTATGGATCAATTGGAAACTTGGGAGTGATTTTTTACCTTTTTCTTTTCTTTTGCAGTTGGAAAAAGAAAAGAACACAATACATATGAGCAACACTAAGTTTAAAGAATAAACAAACTAAACAATGCAACAAGAAAGTGACCAATAAATGTACTCCGGTAAAGTCCACACAAATTGTCATCTTATCATCATTGTCTATTGGTGACTTTCCATTTGCATTAATTTTTCACTTTGAAAATAATTTTCCCATACAAAAAAGATTCAAATTTCTTTTCATTTTCCCATTCTATCATAGTTATAATCTCAGCAAACAAACAGTGTTGTGAAGAAACAACTCAAACGATAACAAAATCGAAGCACCAATGCGAAAAAACAGACCTGTAATTAGACGGAGAATGAGGCCAACGAGAGGGATTGCGGCGAGAGACCGGCAAGGTGTGATGATCAAAGTAGTCCCTCCAGTCCAAAACGGTGTCGTTGGAGGCGACCAACATTCGACTGCCGTATCCCTCGGAAGCCGGCGAATTGGGGTCGCAAGCGTACCCGAGCTTCTTCGGCATGGAAGAATCTTCGAAGAAGGATCGACCCACGCCTCTCATGTCTTCGAGCACTCGAATCGGAACATCATGGTTGGTGACGTGGAACGCGCCCCAGTCTCTGCAGACCCGACCCAGTTCTTCTCGGACGTTGTCGGCCGAGAGATCGACTACTGGGATAGATTTAGCGGCGGCGACGGCGGTGGTGGTGGTGGGTCGGTTTTCCGGTGGTTGTATGTACTGGGGTGGGAGTGTGTTGTTTTTTGATAGGGATTGGACTCTGATGGGCTCGCCGGCGACTTCCATTGAAGCTTTGATTCGTCGATCAGCGAAGAAGAGATTTAGAAGAACCGAAAGATGATGTTACTAACAGTTGATACTAATTTCTCGTTCCGGAGGGTCGATTCACATAATACCCACCAAATTGAACATGAAATATAAGGGCAACAGTTTTTGGAGGAACTCAAAATTAGAAAATTGTAAAGAGTTGTTTGGTTGCAGGTTTTTGCAAAATTATTTTATGAAATTTAGTTTAAAAATGATATCTTTTTAATTAATTAAATGGAGCAAACCTCAAATTCATGTAAAACCTTTAAAAGTTAAAATCATATTTAAAATATCATGATAAGGTAAAATATGTTACACACACCAAGTTCCATTCATGCCAAATCTCAAGTCAAACCTACCCGTAATAATGTTCTTATAAAACTAAGAATAATGCTACCTATTTGAGTTTATGACTTTTCTAATGAGTTTGATCAAGTACAAATATTGAATTACAAATTTAATCACTTAAAAATGAATGGTATGAAAATTATAAAATCAAAATTTTGTCCTAAAATCAATCAAAATTTTATATGCTTTTTATTTTATTTTAAGGTACTTTAAAATGAATTTTTTTTTTTAAAGAGAGGTCATGAAGATCAGAGACATACCTTGCTCCGAAATAAAAAAATTATTTTGAGGTTTTTCAATTTCTTTTTGTAGAAGTATAGAAATGCCCCTCACCTTCATCAAAATTGTTTAGCCAAATTCACCTTATCCATCAGTATCATCGAACCAAATGCTACAAAAACTGCTCCTTTATCACCAGCCATAGAGCCCACTGCAAACACAACGCAAATCAGTGGGAGTTTCAAGCCAATGTTTGTGGCTTCTACCACCAAACCCACCCACAGTAAGCATAGAAACCGTGTTATGGGCGTCCCTTTTCTTCAACGCTCAGCTCTCTGAATTCAATTCTGTTGAAAACCCAATTCACTATTCAGCATCAGAGGAGAGAGAGAAATCAGAGAGAGAGACAGAATCAAACCCACTTTGGCAAACATCAATCGTCTTTGTTTGTTAACAATACCCAACAGTGTCAGCAATGTTAGCTTCAATTCTCTCCTCTTCCTCCAATGCATTTCCTCTCACCTATTTTGGTACCGAAAGGTCTTTTTCTTCTTTTTCATCAATTCCAAGCAAATCTAGAGAACCCACATTCTCTATCATCCCCTTTTCGTCCACCAATGTCAGCAGAAGCAAAGGGGGTAATCTTCTGCAACTTCGAGCATCATCTTCCTCACCTTCAGTGCCCATGATCGAGAAAGAGACAGCCGAGACCCAGCGACCTCACACCTTTCTCCGGGATTCTGACGACGACCCGTCGGAGTCGAATTCGGTGAGAGCCCGGTTTGAGAAGATGATAAGGGAGGCACAGGACAGTGTGTGCTCGGCTATTGAGGCGATTGATGGAGGTGGGAAGTTCAAGGAGGACGTCTGGTCGAGGCCCGGTGGCGGTGGCGGCATCAGCAGAGTGTTGCAGGACGGCGTCGTGTGGGAGAAGGCTGGCGTCAATGTCTCTGTTGTCTATGGACTTATGCCTCCCGAAGCTTACAGAGCTGCCAAGCCTGTTGATTCGAAATCGGATGTTGATGTAAAGCCAGGCCCTGTTCCATTTTTCGCTGCTGGGGTTAGCTCGGTAAATCCATCATCTCAATTCATTATTTCAATATATGTGGGTAGATACAAATTATTGTTCAGTTTATTGCAAATGTTAAATGATGTTTTTGATTTTTTGTTTTTTTTAGCCACATTGTTTAGTGTTTTGGGTGGGTTTTGAACTGCTATACTCATAAGAGTTGGAATGAAGTACAAAAATTAAGGGGGTTTATTCTCCCTTTACATGTAATTCTGCTATAAGAGAAACAAAAGAGGCAAATGCAGAATATAACAGCACTTTAAAGACTAAGAACTAAAGACCCAACTCCTTGATAGGAACATTCCAGTTAATAATAAGCATCTGTTCCGCTTAGTCACCCCATTTCTTGTTCCTTGTTTGCTTGCAGACATCCTTTGGTTACTTTTCTGCCATAAAGTAGATAACTAAGCTGCCAAAACCTGTTTTCTGAATGCCTCCTTAAAAGATTTATCATTTCCTAGTTTGGTAGCATTTGCTTCCCCATTGAACGAAACACATCCCTAAGACCGACAGCACCTGCGAAGCATTAGAACAAGAAGTAGTGATCTAATTCTACATAGGGATTGCAGAAAACACTTTGTGCATAGGCCTAAGTTCCACACTCCACGAGCTTGTCTTTGGATGCTAATCTACCAAGCCAATCAATGCAGAGAATAAAAGCATGTCTAGAGACCACTATAGAGAACAATGTCTTCCTAAACCAAAAAAACAGCAGCAAGTTACCCGCCCTTTAAGGCATTCCAAGATGAAGCAGAGATTTAGAGGCCAGAGGTTTGAGGGTCTACGTACGATGATCAAATGATCATCCCTGGAAGGATATAGTAGGGAATCAGTAGGAACTGTCTTTTGATCACTGCTATTGTCTAGGCCAGTGCCAATGAATATCTTGAAGAAGACTTTTTGGGTGCCAATGGTCAGCAAGAATAATTTCTTTTGCATTAGATGGATCCACATATATTAATAAAGAGGGAAAAGCTTTTGGAATGTTGTGCTTCCCAAAAATTACTCTTGGGTCTTGTAGGAAACTTCTCAAACTTAGGGATAATGCTAGAACATTGTCAGAGATAGATATAGAGTTGGTACTTTCTCATGGTAGTCCTAAAGTTCCTTTAGATAGAAGCCCTATTCCAGTCTCAGTTCAGTTGATGCCCAAACTACCTTATCTTTTAGGGTTACAGATGGTAGTCCGGCTTACTTTTGCTTCACTGGTCTTAAGCTCTAGTCCTGACCACAAGGATGACCTTAACTTTTGTTCAATAGAGGTAATTACTTTCTTAGATATGATAAACACACTGCTCTAGAACACTTGGATGTTACAAACCACTGGAGACTGTAAGTTGGAGTCCACTCACATAAGACAGAAACTTTTTAATCTGACTCTGAGTTCTCTTTATATATATATATATATATATATTGCAAACTACCATTTTTTCCATTCTTATTAGATATAATGTGGTAATATATATGTGTATATATATATATATATATATATGTTCATTTATTTATTCATTCTTTTTGTCTTCCAGGTTTTACATCCAAAGAATCCATTTGCTCCAACTCTGCATTTTAACTATCGTTATTTTGAGACTGATGCTCCAAAAGGTACTTATGAGGCTTTGGATCCAATTTGCATTGTTTAATGGTGATTTTTTTTTTAATGAGGATTTTGTTATTGTTTTATTACAATCTTCTATATTAGCACAACATTTCCTCACAATTTCCACCAATACTGAACACTTGTATTGTCAAGCTGCATTATATGTGCAGTTATCTGCTTGAAGTTTTATCCTGATAGTTTTTGGGGGTGAATCTTCATATTATTAGAGTTTGCTGAAAATGAATTCATGATTTCAAAATGTATGATAGTTTCTGGGGGTGGATCATCACAATTTTCACATCTTATATGCTGGCTCTAGAAGGTTGGAAGTCTTCTTTGTTTAGTTGCTTCAATTTTTATTTTTATTCTTGTTTTTTCTTAGTTGGTACTCACACACACATGCCACCACTGAGGCTTGAACCCCTGACCCCCCCTTGGGAAGTAGGGGCCTTGTACCGCTAGGCCGCTGGCTTGTTGGTTCTTAGTTGCTTCATTATTTCTTACATATTTTCAACCTCTCCAAATCTTTTTACCTTTTTGTTGGTGTTCCCACCCCAACCTTTTTACACTACTCTATCTCCATATTTGAAAGACTTTTACCAACCATTGTTAAACGCAAAGATTGCTCAAGTTGGGTTGTTTTTTCATTTAATTTAGGAATTCTAAAGTATTTTATAGGTTGTTATGTGCTGATTCTTGAATAATTTGAGTTCTATAAAGTACTTTGCATGTTAAAATTTTAGAACTTCTTTTTTTATTTATTATTATTTGGATTATGTTTCTCAAAAGAAAAGAATTTATGTGGATGATTCTTGTTGGACTAGGTAAACTCATGATACTCATCCACTTCCATAAGGAATATCCGAGAAGGGCTATCTGGGTTGCATCAATAAGAATATCCAAGAAGGGCTATCTAGGTTGCATCAATAATTAGAGATGCACTGCATGAGAATAAAGCCTAATATCCTAATTGCTTTTGTTTCTACTTGAATCCTAGAATGCTAGTCTACTCTATTTATCATCATGATGCACACCACATGTGAACAAGAAAATGACCAATTTTAGGAATATTGCTTGGAGCATGCTTTGGACCTGATTAAGTTTAGGGTTGGAGTGAATGTTTATTATCTAATCAATCTTCTTATTTATGGTTTCAAAGTTTTTGAAATCAAGATTACGTTGGTGATTTAAATGAATAAGATAGCTAAGAGATACTTGTATTAAAAAAAGAAAAAAAAAAAAGAAGAAGAAAGATTACGTTGGTGATTTTTGAATTTATTGGATATGGTTTGTAGTAATAGTTTATGGATCTAATTTTGGGTAACCTCATGTTCTTTATTTTTAATTACCCCCTTCCCCTTCCCCCCCACCTTTTTCTTCTTTTTTTATGAAGTCCTAAGTGTAGAAACAATCCTTGTCAGGAAGAGAAGAAAAGTGAGATTGAAGATAACTGCTGCTAGGGTTGAGTGAAGATAACTGTTGGTAGGATTGGCTCCTCTATTTATATTATTAAAATCTGAAATTGTACTTGTCAAAAAAAAAAAAAAAAAAAAAAAAAAAAAATCTGAAATTGTAAGATTAGCTTTACAACATGGTATCACTGTTTAACATTGTTTGTTTAGTTGGCATATAGATATATATCGTTTCCAACTTGTTACATAGCTCTAAAGTGATGAAAACAGGTAGTAAGGATATCCCCTAATTGGTCTTCAAATTAAGCAGTTGTAAAAATATGCTTTCTCTTCCCCTTATCTTGTACAAAGTGGTAGTCTATCTCTATATGTTTGATTCTCTCTTGGATTGGCATATAAGTATTTAGAGTGGCCCAGTTCTCAAAACATGTTCATAGGGGAGTCATTACAAAACCACGACTCTTCCAAAGGTGACCTAATCCAAATCATCCACATGCTTTATGTTCCATTTCTCTGTACTCAGCTTCTCGCTTGACCTTACCACTGCATTTTGCTTCTTATTCATTTAAGTAACCAAGTTACTTGCAACAAAATATACATTATCTGGAAACGGATATCCTCTTTAGTTGTTTTCCAATCTAGACTAAATTAGAATAGCTTATAAGGTCTGCATATTAGATATTTATTATATTCCCAAGCTACCTTTAGGTCCCTCAAGATACACACAAAGTTTACCTAGATTGTTGCCTTCAACTCTGGATAAATAAGCTAACAATCTCAATGGCAAATACAATACTGTAATTAGGCTTATTTGCCTGCCGTTCGATCAAGAAAGTATGTTTACGAGGGCGCGTCATCAGTTTGTCTGGAAGTGCTTAGATGGGTCATAGTCACGTGGATAAGCTTCCTTACCAGTATTCTGTATCTACCAGGATCAAAGAAATAATTGTCTGGTATCTTTTCTCATTCTCAGCTTTTAGTATTTTCAATTTGTACCATTATTCTGTATCCACCAAGACCATCAAATAATTGGTACATATCATTTTTTCAAATCTTACATTAGGATTCTTTGGGCTTTCAATTGCTTTGGTAGTTTAGCATGGTCCACAATTTTATAAATGAAACCCATTGCCAGGCTTCTCACCCCAAAAAACCAACCTTGAGAACTTTCAGAACAAATCCTGAGCTTAAGAATGTCATCAGCCTTCTGCAAACAATTCTTTACAGAAATGATTCTTTTCACATCATAAGGAGGACCACTCTTTGCTTTCCCCCACCTTTAATTCTTTCACTCATAAGAGATATTTCTCAAAGTTTGCTAATCTCATATAAGGTGTCAGGTCTACTAATTTTGTACCTAATCTTGTGATCACAGGACGGAGAAATTCTCTACCTTTGACCACCGGGAATTCACTTTCAATAACCACTTGTTCACATACTCCTTTCCAATTTCTGCAAGAACAGCATGTGACATCATGTAGACCTGCTAGATAAATCAGAAGCATCAATCAATTTATGAAACCTGATGCCTGTGATAGTAAATAAGAAACTAATTATGTGTTTCCTAGTGAGGCTATTACAGCCCATGTTGCATGGACTCTTCAGTTGTAGGTGAAGTACCTGTGTCAGAGTCACGTTACACGAACATGGGTTTGGGATATGTGTCCAAAACTTTTGGTTGGACATGCACATATAAATTATATTTATAATTCAATTTCAAAATGAATGAAATGCCTATATTGGACACTATGTTATATAAAGACATTGTTTTGGTCTAAAAAATGAACAAAAATATTGAATAATATGAATATTTAGCAATGTTCCAGTGTCCTTTTGTTTTAAGATTTGACATGTCTGACGTTTGGATACATAGCTGCACCCGACACACGTACCCGAGCCAATGGAACATAGTTTCCAACTAGTGTACAGGAATCTTTCATCTCTCACTCTCTCCTTAATCTGTGGAAGGATTTGGTTGACTCCTTCATAGCAGCATATGCCATAGGCAAGTATACTTCCATGGCCTTGTATGAACTATGTCCCTTTACTCCTTTGCCTACTTCTGTAGCAACATTAAGCAAGTTTTCTGTCCACTTTAAAGCTTTCGCCCACATTGCACTGTTGAAAAAATTAATTTATATCTGTGAATGTGCATCTTTGTGCTTTGCAGACAGTTTGGAATTTTGAATATATATTTATTCTTTTATACATGTATGCAGATACTCCAGGAGCACCTAGACAATGGTGGTTTGGTGGTGGTACTGATTTGACTCCTGCTTACATCTTTGAGGAGGATGTCAAGCACTTCCATTCGGTATGAGCACACATTAGGATGTTGTTCTATGCTTTTCTACCAAGGAATTTCAACATGATTAAGTGAATTTGCATGTTAAGACGGTTTTGCACACACTTTCTCTCTCTCTCTCTCTCTAAATTGGTCAGTAGATGGTCATGCAACTCTCTTTTTTGCATGAACTATAAATGCACATTTTTAAGACACTGAACTTCAGATTTATTTATTTGTTTATTTATTTTTTGTGTGGAGAAATTTGTCTTCTTTGCTCTTTTGATGATGGATTATTATGTTATATTCATCAGAAAGACAATGATGCCAGGGTACTTTCACTTGAAAAGATTTTAACGATAGCCTTGTCTTGCAGGTTCAAAAAAGTGCTTGTGACAAATTTGATCCCAGCTTCTATCCTCGATTCAAGAAATGGTGTGATGACTATTTCTACATTAAGGTATGCCTATTGTCAGACCTTTTGAGTGTCATGTATAATGCTATGGTGCTGCTGGTTTACTTAGTTATTTGAGTTTGGACTTCTAAATTAAATTTAATCTGCTTTTGCAATACCTCCTAAATTTAAAAACTCCTTAAAAATTTACTCTTCGTAATATTATGAGGTAGTGTAGTTCTGAAATTAATTGTTGGACCTTTCTTTGGGTATATGTTGGCCAGTTGTGATAATGCATTCTTATTAATCATCCAACCTTCACCAAATCAGAAAGCAAAAGGTAAAACTTTTGGTCTTCGGTAATGTTATAGACAGATTCTAATCTAATCCATTCCATCTTTTCTATATGGGTCTGTTTGGTTAGGTAGAAGTGGCAGGAAAGGAAAAGAAATGGAATTTTTTTGAACTTTTTAGTTGTTTGGTTAGAGGGAAAATGAGAAAATTTTCAGAAAAGTAGGATTACCGCATGTGGTTGATTTTAAGTGTTTATAGACTTCTGATGGATTTGTACATGGCAATAACTTAAGAAGATGCATTATTGACAAAAATGTTGATTGACAACCATTTTAGTTCGTTATAATATTAAAAATATGAGACCATAAGAAGACAAAGATGTTTTTTCAGTTGTTGTATCAGAGCAGGGTGGACAAAATGTAGGCAAGTTAGTTGTATCCTATGTGACATACAATATGAAATAAATTAAGAGGAAAATTCTATAGTACAGTTATTAAGTCAGTGATATTGGATGGAGTAGAATGCCCAAAAGAAACAAGACCAACTCATTCAGGTAGTGAAAACGAGAATGCTATGATGGATGGAGGAGTAACTAGAATAGATAATATTAGTAGTGAACGAGTGAGGGAAAAATCATGAATATCCTCTATTAATGATAAAATTAGAGACTAGACTTAGGTGGTGTGGTCATATACAACATAGATCAACAATTCACTGGTTAAAAGAGGAAGGATTAATTTCATAGAAAGTAAATGACAGAAAGGCCGATGAAAACTTACATGGGATGAAGTAATTTAAAATAATATTAAAAAATTAAATTTTAGAGGAGCCATGTTATATTATACGAAATAATGGGAAAAGAGAATTCATTGGGTCAACCCCATTCATATGGGACAAAGGCAAAGATGATGATGTACTTTGAACTAGATGTGTCAATTTCTTATCCACAACGGCTACCCTGCGATAATAAGGTAATTATAAATGTATCTGTACAGGGGATTTTGATATGTTTTAAATGAACCTCGATCAAATGTTATATCTAGTCTACCCAATCTGGAACTTGTGTAGGCAGGTCCTGCACCTTTTAATGACATGTTGAACACATGCATTCAACAAGTGTCAGATTCATCTAATTGTCAATTCTAGTCTTGAGAATATGGCGGAATTGTAGAATTCTCTAATATTCTGGAATAAATGATCCATTTATTCGACATTTTTCTTTTTCGGGAAAACCCTTCTGTGGAGGGTGTGGTGTGAACCCTACTTGATTTATCAAATTTTTCTTTTTCTTTTTTTATTTATTTTTTATTTTTTTAAAAAAAACTAATCAAAAAAGTGGTATGAACCGTACTTGCTCATTAGAATCAAGAACTTTTAAAAGCATGACAGATGGGACAAAATGCCTTACATCCTACAAATCGTAAAATTGCGCTAATAAACTACACAAATAGAGAATCTCTAAAAAAAAAGGAAGAATACATGGAAAATGAACTCAATGAAATAAAGAAAATGCATAGACCTCTTGAATGCTGTTTTTTTGCAATTCATTATGAGATATACTCAGCAAAGTCTCTGCTTCAGTGGGATGTGCTCCTGGTCAAAGTGGAACTCTCAATCAGACTCAAAACTCGAGTTGGCTAAATCATCAGCTGGTTGATCACTTCAATAGTGCAGTTCCAGTAGCCACCTGATCAACAAACTTTTCTGCTTATGAAAATGAATATTCAACAAAACTTTGGAAATCACATTTAAGAACAATGTTGACAACGTGAAATTGGGCACAAAACAATGAACCAGTTAAGATTTCTTGCATCTCTGCTCGCTGTTTGTGCATTGGCTAACAAAACAGGGGTAAGCAAAAAGTTGTTTTAATGACCCATTGAACACCTCTAGGAATACCTCCAATGCTGCCCATAATTAAATTACCACAACATGCACCACACCATCCATGTTGAGTTTAAATGACCCATTGAGCAGCTAAGTCCACTTGTACATAATTACCTTTTCCTATCACACCTTTGCACGAGCAGTGCGGAGATAATTTTTATTTATTTATAAGTGAGCAGTTCGGAGATAATTTATGGTAATGTTCTCCACAAATTCACAGTGCCGGGCTGTGTTTATAAACAACTCATTTGTCTTGGTCACTACTGTATTACAAATCCAAGGAGTTAGTACACATGTAAACTGTCTTCTATCCTATCCACCATCCAGAGAAATGACCGAAACTGAAGTAAAGTGAGATAAGGTGATGCCAAAGTAATTTTCAAACCTGCCCTCAAACAGTTATATCTGGAATTCTCTTATTTTCCTTGCATATCAATACCCATGACATACCAATATCTATGTTACATGATCAATTCTAAAATCATGAAGAAACATGTTGGACACAACAGTTAAATATGGACCAACACTCTTAGATACAGATATGAGAAGCGAATCCATGTTGAACTCATTATCTTACGTAAAAAGTGAGAAACATATTAACAAAATATTCCTTGGATTTGATGAAATGGCAATCCAACACCTTTACACACCAACAACAACATACGTGCTTGACATGTAATATAGATGCCCAATATGGATACTTGAGCTGTTATTAAATGTTCATGCAACATTGTTATTGGTAAATGTTGTTGATTTCTAGACATGAAAATGAAAGGGTTGCGCAGCGTTCACATACCTGACATGCCAATATGACATCAAGAAAATCTTTTTTGAAATTAAAATTATTTTTTTGAACTTTGGATTAATTTAGGCATTATCTCATTTTTGATGTTTTAATATTTAAAAGTACTTCCATAATATAAACAAATTGGTATATGGACTCGTGTACGGGACTAGTGAATTCTTTATAAATTAGGATTACACCAACAATCAGTTTTAGGTGCATACCTGTTGGCGATAGTCTCGTAGAAAACATTTCATGGTGTATGTTGTTTGCTGATGAAATAGTTCTATTAGATACTTCTAAGGAAGGATTAACAACAAATTTTGAAACATGGATAAACACTTTGGAAGCAAAAGGCCAAAAAATTAGTAAAACTAAAACATTACATATGGAATATAAATTTCCTAAAATAGCAAAAGATGATAATATAAATGTTACAATTCAATATCACAGAGCGACTCAAAATAACTCATTATTGAGGGTCAACATTACAAAATGATGGGGAGGGGGATAGTGTGATATAGGGAGTAGGACTAATATCTTTTTTGGTAAACGAATATAAAAAAAAATTAAAAGGAAACTTCTGTAGGGTGCATTAGGCCAGCTATATTGTATGGAGTAGAGTGTTGCTTTAAAAAAGAAATAGAAACAATATATTTATGTAGCGTAAATGAGGATGCTATGATGGATGATAGGAGTGACTAGAAGAGATCAAATTAGTAATAAACAAGTGAGGTGAAAACTAAGAATAGTGCCTATTAATGATAAAATTAGAGAAAGTAGACTTAGGTGGCATGATCGTGTACAACGTAGATCCAAAGAAACACCGGTTAGAATAGGAGTCTTTTGCCTAGAATGTAAGCAACAGAGTGGCCGAACAAAACTGGGATGAAATAATTCAAAATGGTTTAAAAAAAATAAATTTTAGTGGAGTCATGGTATATTAGGTAAGACTGGGAACGTGTTTTTTTTTTTTGGCCGACCCATCAATATGGGGACGAAGGCAAGGATGATGATGATGATCTTATTTGGGAGTCTGACCATGTATATCTATTTAAACCATTCCTTCTCTATCAAAGTGGCAGCCGAAAGAAGGCTGACTTATCGTAAATGTTAATTTCTTTCATTTTGGCGACCGGAAGTGTTACTCAGAGAAGCTGTTGCAGTTAATAAATTGAAAAAGTTAGTTTCAAATTATACTTGGCAGTATCTTTTAGGGGGATTTCTTGCTATGGCTGATTGGGATGGACTTTATACATTGTCTAGGTTTATGCTGACTGTTATTTCTGAATGCAGCATCGGGGTGAGAGGCGAGGGCTTGGGGGAATATTTTTTGATGATCTCAATGACCATGATCAGGAGATGCTTCTTTCCTTTGCAACTGGTAATTGTTTGTGATGATGAATGTTTCTTTACGTGGTTTTATAAGAAAAAATTCAGTGGATTTCTGATACTCTATTAGTTTATTTACATACCAATTATTGTTGAGTTACAGAATGTGCAAATTCTGTGGTTCATGCTTACATACCCATAATAGAGAAGAGGAAGGATCATCCTTTTACAGATCATCACAAGGCATGGCAGCAATTAAGGAGGGGCCGATATGTAGAATTCAACTTGGTATCAGAACTATTTCTAAAGATCCCTGGAGATGTGCCTTTAACAACTCTTCTAATTTTGTTCTTTTGTCTTCCTTTCCCCCTAATTTTCTGACAGGTTTATGATCGTGGAACAACATTTGGTCTCAAGACAGGAGGTCGCATTGAGAGTATTCTTGTTTCTCTTCCTTTAACCGCACGATGGGAATATGACCATGTAAGCGTTTTCTCAACTTTGTTTTTTTAACCTTTTCTGATTTGAATGTTGTCTTCGAGTTGTTTTGCTTGAGACCTTTTCAAACGCTGACTAAAAATAATTTGTTTGGTTCCTTCGCAAATGATTTTCAGAGAACTATAGAAACTGTTCAATAAAACTAAGCATTTTTTATACTTATCAAAAAAAAAAAAGAAAAAACAAAAAAACAAAGCATTTTTTTACTCGATTTTTAGTGAACATTTTTTGAAAAATCATCAACCGAAATAATTTGCAATAGTTTTATGTTCTGTTCTTTAAGTGCAGAAGACTGAATTTCCCAAATCTTGTGAATTATTTATGAGAGCATTTCCTTCTTTCTTGTGCAGCAACCGGAAGAGGGAAGTGAAGAATGGAAACTATTGGATGCTTGCATTAACCCTAAGGAATGGATCTAATGTTAGTTTTCAAAAGTTTTTTTTTTTTTTTCAAATTTTAATGTTGAGTTGCTTTTTTGGTTCTATTCCCACCTCTTCCCCTTCTCCCTCACGGCAGTCGACTTAAAAGACCAAGTTGGGAATGAGTGATGGAGGAGGATCTTGTTGTAAATCAAATGGGTATTTTTAATTTTTATTATTATTAATTTTTATTTTCCCATTGTCTAAGGCCAGTATGAGTGAATGTTGTTGACACAACTCACTATCTCAAGCTCTTGTTCATTTTAGTAATGCCTTGTTGCAGTTTGAAAAGTACAGATTAGTTCAGCTTGATTTGACCTTAACCCGAATTAAACCATCAACCATTGCCCAGTTCAAAAAATACTCATGCCTGAGCTTGGTAATGTATGATATATCATCGACCTTTAAATCATAATGTGTCACAATCAATGCATGTAGCAGTAGCATTAGCTACTTGATGATGTTTGTTTTTTGGTATACCAAACTGAAAATCAGAATGTAGTTGTGGATTTCAATATTTACGGTTGTCTATTTCAGAATTAGCATTGTATTTTGAAATTCAGCAATATTTAAATCTTAGTTACGCCAGTATATTGTACATGATAGACCAACAATTTGGTTACAATGTACCACATCATATATTATTAGCAACTTTAAGTGTTTTATGTTGTCTACTATGTGTAACAATGTGTTTAAAGAATTGTAGATATGTACTTGTGAAGTTGTATTTGTATCGACATAATATAGGTTATACATACATACATATATATATATGTATATATATAGGAAATAGAATAATGAGGAAAAACCTTTAATTTTTTTTTCAGTTATTAAATAATAATTTGGCTGCTGTTAAAGAAAAATGATGGTCGGAATCAAGAGTTGCCACTATCTCTCTAATCAAAGAGGATCTGTAATCTATTAGCAGCCAGAGAAGTTATTGATGCTGATTTTCTGGAGTTGCTTTGAGATTCGAGTGGATTTAGGTAGAGATTGGGTATGGTTTGGATCATTTGTGCCCTACTTGGGTTCCTGGTTGGTAGGTGTATATGCTTATGAGACAAAATCTACTTTTGTGTTTGTATTAATTCATTAAATATTCGCCTGAATTTGTTTTTTAAATTCCTATCCTTATATTTCATAACTGGTTACAGTAGATTGTACACGATATCATATTAGTGTCATATTTATTCAGAGCAAATCTATAGTTGTTTAGAAATCTAAACTAAATGGATCAAGAACTGTTATTATGGTTATGAAGTTGCTCTAAAGCAAGTTAAAATTGTCAGTGAAAAGAGAGAGAACAGTAAAAATTTCGATTTTATCAACCATTAGACAGTTCTTCAAACAAACTTATTCAAAATTTTAGTATAAAAGTTATGGACAAAACTTGTAAAACATCACGCGAATTTGAGTTTCAAAACAAAAATGGAAAATATTGTGTTGGTGAAGGAGCAGAAGTGCCGACCAAGAGATTTAACTCGGAGGCTTCCATTTTATTGAGAGAGGTTTCGGTGATTAAGTCAAATATAAGAGCGAAAAACAAAGAATGGACCTTGTAGGTAAGTGCTCAATGACGTGTTTTTATTTTTAATTATATATATATATATATATATTTTTTGAAATCTCGCAATTTGTAACATTTTATTGTTCGTTTTTGCAGCGGAGGTGTGATCCAAGATTTTGGAATTAACATTAGCAAGGATATGATCTCATTCACGCGACATAATTGATTGTAATATTTTAACAATGACAGAATCTCTAGTAAAAGTAAAATCTAAAAACAAAATTATACACTACCATGTCTTTATTTAATGTTGGGGTATAAAGGTAATTTTGTGCTGCTATTCATAGGCGCTGAGGGATGGTTTACCAGACATCTCTTTTATAGGTAAAATGTTGTACAAAATACAGTATCAAACATGATATTTTGTGGTGTTACATTCATTCCAGAGTATTTTATAATTAATATATCTAATATATTTACAAAAAAACTACAGAATTTAGAGTATACTATACAAACCTAGGGATAATTTTAAAAAGAAGGTTTTAGTATTGATTTCATTTCTAACACACAACTACCGACCTTGTGTGTATTGTGTACCCAAGCATTGATTTCATTTCATTATGAATAGAAGGTTATAGTATTAATTTCATTTAAAAATTTGGTCAAGTAGTGTTGTATCTGTGTTCCGTGTTTGTGTCCATACTACACAAAATCAAAAGTCAAATTGTTGTTGGACTAGGCAAGCTCATCCACTCTTACAAAGAGTATCCAAAAAGGACTATCTAGCTCCCATCAATAATTAATGGTTCAATGCACGAAAATAAAGTCTAATATCCTAATTGCTTTTGTTTCTAATTGAATTTTAGAACGTTATTCAACTCTATATATCATGCATGACTCATCGAGAGTATGATTCTAATTTTTGGTCACGTTACATTATCTCCTTTTGACCATTTTATGAGGTCCCAATAGTAAAAACGAGTCTTGAATTGGACGAAATACCAAAATGGCATTGTAGCACATGATGTTCATTAACTACTTCAGTATCACATTATGTGCATTAGCATGTTGTACGTAGTTCATGAAGTACCACCGTCTTCTTGTTTCAAATGGAATTCTGCTTGGGCAAATATATGTATATACATGTATTCCTACTGAAGTATATTCCCGCGTAAATACTCCAATTTCATACAATCTCAAATGGCATATTGGAATGATACGGGTAAATTAAACACAAAGTACTACTTTTGATTAAATTCAAATAACATATACGAACTTTACAGTTTTTGATCGAATCCAAGCTATAGAAAATTCTCAAATGCAACTTTTCAATTCAAGAAATAGCTGCTTGCTTGAAAGAACCACTTCTCTCAACTTAGTGTCTCTTCAATCAACAATTCGAAGTGCTTTTCTTGGCATTCTTGATAAACTTAGGTTCACATTCGCCTTGCACTTCAGCAATGCCTCTGGTTTCTCACTTGTGCAGCCCTTTCTTGTATAAGCTAACGGCTCAAATAAGTAACTTGTGCACTCTTTTGCTACCTAAAAGTTAAGTTACAGTAACAACTGAATAGGACTTTGTTCAGGAACAGAACAGCCAACTCTTAACCACAAAAATCAAATATCCCACCCATTAAAAATAATGAAATGATAATATTTTCCAATCATACAATATCTCTGCAAATTATTTAAAAACTTAGGATTGATATTATAATTTCTAACAATACATTATTCATTATGGATTAAAAAAAATAAATTAAACAAAAATAATAAAAATAATAGCTAAGATTAAGTGGTAGGAATTGGGGTATTTGTAGAAGAGAAATGATTTTTTAAATGATTTTTTTTAAAAAAAAAAAAGTTAAAAAATCAAATTTTAAGGGAAAAAAAAATAGGTTTTTAATTTGTTTTTGACCCAAACTTGCATGGAAGGTTGTCTTTAGATTGGAATTCATAGTAGTTGTGCACATGGAAAACCGCCCTTGGATTGGAATTCATGTAATAGTTAGGGCCTATTTGGTTTACTTTTCTGTTGAGACTAAAAAAAAAAAAAAAAAATTGTTTGGTTTACAATTTCTGAAAACTTAGTTAAAAAAATGTTGTTCTCTGAAAATAGTTTTTCGAATTCTTGAGAATTGTTTTTAAAAAACTGAACCAAACAGTTCCATATTGCAGCAAATTTGGAAATTTTAACACCCACCTGAGCGTATTTTGGATTTATCCTGAGAATATAGTTGCATAGGTTCTTTTTGTTTATTGATACTGTATTCTCTAATAAGATGTTCTTCGAGATGGTTTAAGGAATAAGGCTAGTACTTGTCAAGTAATTTGTGTGGCTGATGACTAGGGGACTTTTGTTGGATGATATTTAAGATATTAACTGGAATGTTCGGATTTGGAATGGAAATACATTGTTTTTGGTAGACATTTACGCTTTATGTTCTGCGGGGAAACTTCTGGACATCAGTCTTTGTCAATTAATCATCTATCTCAATGCCCTTTATTTTGGAGAATGATTACCTTTGTAATAATATGCCCTACTCCTCATTATTATTGATGAAATATTTAGGAATCCATTGTAGTTTAATTTGTTTTTATAAAATTAGTCTTGGTGTATATATTGAGGAAAACATAATTAAGAATATGAGAAAAACAGTGCTATATTTTGTTGACCTTGCTGATTATACTCGTTGACTATCATTATGATCCCTTTTGGTAGTATATATTTGGGCTTTTGATTCTTTCATTATACGGTCTTCATCTTCTTCTTAAATTTGTAGGAAATTTCTAACGTTTGGAACCTTGATTAGCCTGTATTTGTTGTCTTTGGTTGTGAGACTTTCTGCTGTTGTATTTGTATAATTATGATTAGCCTATATTTGTTTCTAATTTCTGATCTTCTATTTAAGGAGTTAGCTCTGGTTCGTCGACCTGATAAGGGGTGCTACTTTTATAAAGAAAATTGAAATTCTTGCCAACTATTTTCCGAAGAGTTTTGATGCAGCAACACCATTAAAGACAATCGCGCGATTACTGAATTGTTATGGAACATATAATGGAAGAACTTTGGAAGGTTACCAATTGTTGAATCAATTAAATTGAAAAGTATATTCACAATTACTCCACTTTCTAGAGTACATTACCAAATCACATTAACTAAGCCTTACTAAAAAATCAGGATTCTTGGAGATGCAGTCATATATGAATAGTGAGAGAAGAATTTCCCAATAAAGCCTTAAATACTATGAATGTAATATGGAAGGGAAATTGCTGTATGAATCATCTCTCGGTGGGCAAAAATTATTTCCCTTGAAAGCAACTGAAAAGTTCGTGAAGCTGGTTGTGGTCTCCTAAAGAGTCAGATTAAAAATCTGACTCCAGAGGATTTCAACTTGCCTCTTTGCCTCCTAATTAGTTTCCTCTAATATATCAAATAATATTGTTACGACGTTTCAACAAACTAACATTATAAAATCTGAGCATTTTCACTTTGTCAAATAAAAGAATAGTTGATTAAATAAATAATGTTATCTTCATCCAAAGTTCATGCTTGGCAGTATCATGCACTAGCCATTAAAATGCATTTCAAAAGTGTGAGACATAAATGCATTGTTGGTGTGTTTTGCAGCATTCAAATTTGAGAAAAAAACTTGCTAGTTAGTCGTGAAAGAAAACGTTGAGCCTATCGTGTTTTTTTTTG